CCCGGTCCAGCGGTTACTTTCCGCCGACGATGAGATGCCTACGATATGACAAGGGCAATCATGGTGCTCAACCAGAATGAACAATCATCGGAAGGATAAAAACATGCTTGGCATTTGATATATCTACGGCTAACACATTTTCAAGATGACGTGCTGCGTTTTGAAGTGTCGACAGACACCTCTAGGTAATTCAGACATAGTGGCCAGCCCGGAGTCTGCTTCACCGAGGCAAGGTACCGATGTCGAAATTGCCAACCTCGGAAACCCCCACATACCTCCACACGTCCGACTTCAACGACACAACATGATCGACCAGGCGATGAATGAGCGAACCACTTGAACACATATTCGTATCACTTACGAGGGTTGCTTGGTGGACTTTGGTGTGCCACAGGCAATACTCGAGGCATGATGGTGAAGCTCCTCATCAGCATCTTGCAATTATCACACATTCTAAGTATCTTTCAACATCTATCACCTTCCTTACTTTAGTCTAATCCCAAGCCATGGGAGGGAAGAGCAGTTTGTAGCGCAACATTTCACATCCTGCTTGCGTTTTTTTTTTTTTTGTCATGACTTGAATGGTTACTGCCTGGATATCCGTACTCTAACAGGCAGCCAGTATCTTTCTATAGGTTGACAGCAGCTCATTCCGAAGAGCTGTATACAACAATAGGCCCTTCAACATTTCAGTATCCTAGTGATTTTGTCTGCTTAAACTTGATATCTTTGCAGTTGATTTGACTCGATTTGCCAATAAGACATCACTAATCAGCTTGCTTCAGAGTAAGATCGATCATTCTGTTGGCCAGTGTATGGTCTTTCTGGCCCGGTCCTTCTAGCGATGACCAGGACCAGAGTTTTGGTCAAGCATCCATGGTTCGAATTATTCAAGCCTCGTGCCCAAGAAGATTACATCTGCCCATTCATGTCGTTGTGTGTACGGGGCTTCGATACACTCCTCTCCCCAAAGCCGATGGAGCTGTCCCAATTCCCGATTCTCAATGTCACTCTGGATGAGTAACGCTGCTCTCGGCTGTGTATTCCCTCGTTGATTCTGCCCGAATAACTGCAATACTCTTACAAAGCACACTGTTGTTCACGTGAGGTGAATCACCACGGATTCACTCACGGAAGGTGGGCCCAACCTCAACTTCCACTCAAGGTAGGTAGGTAGGTAGGCAGGCCAGCAGCACCTACCTTACCCTCCTGCCTTTCCCTCACTGGAGTAAATTACCTCCGATTTTCCTTCTCTTCCTTCCATCACTCCCGTCAGGTTGACGACATCTACCAGAATCCTCCCCACGGTCTATTCTAGTTGTGTACTTCAACTTCTCACCTCCTTCAGTCCTCGCGACAATACTTCGCCTGCCGTTACATCGCGGCCCATAGGTTCCTTCCTACCACTCATTCAATCTGCTATTTAGTAGCCACGGCGTTCTTTTTAGCATCCTTGGGTTGTCAGCTTGGCACCATTCAAAGCGTACGCCATCGCGCTGTGCTCGAGACAACATACCAAGGTAAGTTATTTCAGCGCCTGTGTTGCCGTTGACGAAATCTTGCTGACAGAATCCAGATGCTCTTTGCGACGTGGAATGTTGGCTACGGGCCGATCGACGATCTTCACGTGTCCCTCACAGCGAAAGACAGTCATACGTCCCCCGCGCCACAGAATATTGTAGGTCTTCCCTCTTGATCCCATGCCTGTGTTTACTTCCTGGAACTAATTCCACCAGCTGGAGCTCTCCGACAGAGATTGTGGTCGCCGAATGGTTCACTCTTTCAATAGCATCCACGAATTCGCTCGCGTTCATCGCGAAGGAACCATCATAGAGATGGCGAACGAGGCTTCTGCCATCAAGAGGTTCAATGAAGCGCCTGAAGCCAGATACGCTTGGGTGATTGCTCCTGTACCGGGTCCTTATTCACTCATCGAGTCGGATCTGCAGAAGAAGTGGATTGTGCTCGCCGAACTGCCATCGACACCGGAACGCCATTTCCCTGATGAGGGCGACATGTGCAATATCTCATTCAAGCGAGATTTCGTTTGCAAGGGCAAGAAATATAACCCTGGAACTCTTTCCGCACAGCGCATTCCCAATCCATATGAGACGACCCCGGAGTTGTACCAGTACTCCCTACTGGCAGCATTCAACGTTACCATGGACTATATTGCCGACCCTATCACGAAGCAGCAGTACCACCCGCTCTTCTCAATCGCTGTGAAACAGGATCTGAATTTTGGCTTCGGGCCAACGCCCCTCAGCTTGCAAAATGCCACTGAGATCTGCCTTCGGATCGATCAGAATCCTGTGACGTATGAAGCTGAATTGACGGCATTGAGCATCTTGACTCAGCCGAAGAAAGAGGGAAACGAACTGTCAGAAAATACCATTGGAACTTTCGAGTACTTGCTGGATTTCCGGAAAGAGCCCAGTTTCTACATCAACATGTTCGACAAGATCCCACACATGGACAACCCTGCTAGCCATTCCAATGCGTACCTGCAGGCTGTCTACCGCCGACTCAATGCAGACCACAAGAAGGTCTACGAGCAACTTCGTCGGATTCCAGCGGGACTTGCGATCATTCTTGGTTGTCCTGGTGCTGGAAAGACAGCGTTGAACGCCTTTATCTCTGCTATGGCCGTCTCTCAGTCTCGCCATATTGTGCGCGATGATGGGAAGAAGAAACACAAGCCGGTCAAAATCCTGTATCTTCTCGACGTCAATTACCCCTGCGATGATGCAGCAGACAGAGTGTACTCAACGTTGAAAAAGGCCGGCATCAACAAGTCGGTGATTAGGGTTCGAGGTTGCGCTCGCGAGATGCGAAGCAGTGCAAAGCTTCACCCAGTGCCCTCAGCAAGCGAAGATGACGAGCCTGACTTCACCGCCGGATTCCTCAGACAAGTTCGTGCTTCTGTCGGTCTTTCGAATGGTACTAGTTCTACTAATGAAGCTCGTGGCGATCGAGCGCCATCCCTGGATGAAGTTGCGTGGGAGAGGTACGATGCCGACCGAACCCGATACAAGTCTTTGACCAATATTCTCGAAAAGCTCGAGAACGGTGCAGTCAAGACCAGAAAGACAGCAAGAGAGCTCAAGAATCGTGTGGCCAGGCTCTATCTCTCCGTGATCGGAGACGCCGATTTCATTGCCACAACTCCTGTTGGCGCGTCTGGGTACCTGAGCAAAAACTTTCATCCGGACATTGTGTTTCTTGATGAAGCTGCTCATGCCAGAGAACTTACAACCCTCATCCCTATCGCGCTGTATTCACCCTGTGCGTTCATTCTGACCGGCGATACCCGACAAACCAGACCCTTTGTTGAAGGCGGCAAGGGCATGGAGAAGGAGAACATCTATGCAAAGCAGCTCATGATAAGCACCATGGAAAGAGCGGATCTTGCCGGGGCTCTCAAGAGCAAATTGCTTATCAGTCACCGTAAGCACTGTGATATATTGTTCGTATAACTACACTGCTAACGACGTCCAGGAATGTACGGAGACCTCCAAGTATTGGTATCAGAGTTGTTCTATGATGGACAATTGACTTCAGGAATCCCCGAAGCTGAGCGCTTCTCCGACCCCGTACGCCACATGCAAAAATGGCTCGGGCAATTCACCAGGGGCCAGGAATGTATTGTCCCTCGAATCCTGCTCAACCTACGGTACTCCAAGGAGATGAAAGACCGGTCGAGCTTCTACAATCAGGTTCACGAGAATTTCATTAAGCAGCGCTGTCACGAACTGCTCCGACACCCAGAATTCAAACAGGTTGACAAGCCTGACCAACCTGGACGGATCCTGATTATCACGCCGTACAAGGCTGCTTTGATTCGGTATAAACAGTTCATCAAGACTCTTCCGCCTCACTTCCGGGGAAGGATGGACGTGGAGTTACGATTCAATGCTCTCGAAGCCCGCACTGTGGACTCTGCTCAAGGACACGAGGCAGACTTTGTGTTTGTTGACACGGTTAGGACGAGAAGCGCTGGCTTCCTCGACGACCCAAAGCGTCTGTGCGTGATGTTGTCTAGAGCTCGAGTTGGAGAGATGATTCTCATGCATGAGGGCATGACGAAGAAACGGGACCGTAACCAGCAACAGCATGATGCGGAATGGACTACCAAGGTCTATGATCATTGTCGCAAAAACGGTCAGCTTCACTATTTTGGTTGAACAAATGGCTGTGCGTTTGAGGTGGTAGATTGATTGTGGAGTTTGGATCAGGCAGCGGACGATGTCCCCTTTACAGCAGCTTGTGGAATGTTACCTTGGAGGATAGATACTGCCATAGAGAGAGCCCAAGAATGAGATAATCGCAGTAAGCTTTGAAAGACATTTGATGACACCGCGGGCTACTCGACTATCTACGATAGTGCAGCCTGATCTCGATTCGGCCAAGTTAGTCTCGAGGTGGTACCACATTAAGCAGGCTGCGGAATAACGAGGAGTGCGTCCAGAACATGGCCTATTGCCAATGATATCCTTTCGAAACTATTTACGAGAAGATGGAAACACCTAATGGAGACTGAACCGACTAAACCGATCGCCATGCGGGGACCATCACCAGCGTGATGCTGCCTTGGGTGTCACAGCATTTGCCATGCCTGATCCTGTTCTATCCCAGTCTACAGCCTGATCTTTTGAGTAAAGTAATAAGATCATTGGCTTAGAACGATCGGCAGGCCGTTGTTATTGTATCCTAAAAGAGCAGCTGAAAAGGCTTGCCAAGAAGATAAGCAACTGCAGAGTGCCTTTCCTCCGCTCGAGAAGCGTGCACCCATATAAAGTAACTGATACCGGTCAGTTCCCCCACACAATATGAGAATGGAGGCTTTCCCACCTTGTTAACCGCGCATTGAGATAGTATCGATTTCTCTCTTTCGACGAAGATTAGGTGACAGAATCGGTTGTAACATCGCCGCGATTCGCCCAGGCATCACCACCGATTGCCGACTTCAATCGGCCGCACACAACCCCCGTCAATGAACCATGACCAGCGTTCCAGCTGTATGTTTTGCTGAATGTAGTGAGTTTCTTTCCTCTACCTTCATCGATGTTCGCCACACAACTGACAATATTTGTACCCAGACAATGCCTATATTGAGGCGCAAGGAGTTGGGAAAGACCCTTCCTTGTGCAACATCGCGTCGCCCTTTGCGAAAGATCTCATAGATTGTCAAGTTTGTATTGGAGTCAATAGCAAGAACTCGACCAGTTTTGAGGATCTTGGGCCCGAATTGCAACAATATCTGGACCTCTGCAACCAAGTACAGACGGTCACGTACGCCACTACCATCACATACCTCAATGGTGACGTTGAACTGGTGACTCTGACGAAGACAACAACGGGCCCGATAAATTACGCTCCAACCACCTCGACTCCTTCTGCGTCTACTTCGTCACAGAGTGTAATACCTACAGAATCAACTTCGACAGGTTCGTAACCGCCTGAACCGTCTTGATAGAAAACCTCAACGTTAACCAAAAGATAAGAATTGACCCCAGCCCCCAATCGAGCATGGATAGCCGGTCTGGTCATTGGCTGTGTCGCCGTCACTGCTCTTGTTACTGGTTTCTGGTTTCTCAGACGCAGAAGACGGAGAGCCAATCAGGCAGCTTTTGAGAACACGAGCGAAGCACATGACGAGTATACCAAGGCCCAACTTCACTCCGACAGTCTGCCTCCCAAGCCTGCCATAGAACTCGAGGGGTCATACCCAGATCCTATACCGGAGATGAGCGCGAACGAGATTGCTGCACAAGAAATGTTAGTCCCGCACAGCCACCACGTTGCAGAGATGCCAGAGAAACGTAATTGAGCAGTTCGAGTACGCACAACTAGTCGAGGCATGGCTGGGAACAGTACACGAGGTGTAGAGTGAAGCAGCGTGCCGAGCAGCATAAGAACAAATGAAGAACGTAGTGCCACTCTTTTCAGCCATAGTTAGTCTTCGTTCCATACGCATCGCAGCTACCCGTGCCGTCCTCAAAGGTCCGGCAAACATCAATGTAGGTCGACCAAAATCACCAGCCAGCCCAGATTTCCTCCATTCTAGGATCGTTGTGTGCCTTTTCACGGGTAACTGGGCAGAGTACCCCGGACGCCACGTAAGACCAGCCATCGTACGGCCATCACCACGAAACACAGTCTTGTCAAGTTACACAGCATGACGGTACGCTCTCATTGGGCGCTTATCACCCATCGCACACTCCCGCATCATCCCATTTGGCCTGCGGGATCATGCTTACGGGCTGGCCGCACCGGAGATCACGGACTACCGTTGAGCGGCTCATACCCGTTGCCAAGAAGGGCAAACTTCTGTGCAGCAGATCCGATTACTATGACATGGTGTGGCGTTGGCGGTCGTATAAAGTCAGCTGCATGCCCGGCGTACCTTGACGCTGTCAGCATCTTTCATGTCTGACGCTCCATCTTGCGGGGGATGAACCCTCATAACTTACAAAACCCAAGAGAAAAGAAACGTTAAGGACCTGACTTAATCGAATGCTTCAAGTCGACTGAAGATGTCGGCTTCGATAATCACATCGACGACTGGGGCTACTTTCACGTACCCTACGCCAGGACCATCTATGGTGACCTATTCGGCCAGGGCATATTTCATGACGAGTCCATCGGGACCATGCATGAAACGTTTAAGTATGCATTTCTTTCAACAAGTTTCTCGATCTCTCGGAGGTGAACTGCCGCCAGCGACTGACCACCGCTGCGTCTTAGATGCCCTCTACATATACATCCAGGCAATCGGCAAACAGCCATTGATCTGCCATAAGGACGCGCACTTTCAGACAGAGTACGAAGATTGTATTAATTGCTTACATGTCACCGTGGAGGATTCAGCAACGTACATATCTAAACGCGTCGAGCCGAAATTCAAAGAGTATCTAGACTACTGCAACGGTAAACCTCCGGACTGGACGTACGCACCTTCGCGATTGACTGTCGTCACCCGCGCGCACTGGGGACCTCTTACAGACTTTTATGGTGAGCTAGTGGCGGGAGGTCTCGAGACGATCACGGCGACAGAGCTCAAACCGACGGACAGCAGTGAGACAGGCGGCGGATGGCCGTCGTCGTCCTCGACAGAAACTGGGAAGACACCCGGGGCAGGAGACTCAGGTATGATGTCTGGAATAGCCATATTGACGCGATGATGATGCTGATCAAGCGAGATAACAGGACCGATACCAGGTAACTCGGCATGGATAGCAGGGCCGGTCATTGGCGTGATCACGGCCATTATGCTTCTCCTCGGCGCGCTCTGGTTTCTCAGACGACGAAGACATCGAGCGGTTGATAAAGAGGAGTCCATGGCGACCGGTATTGCCATTGGTACTCGTGGTGGTGGCTATGGCCAAGGGGAATATGAAAAGCCGCAACTGCATTCGGATTGTATCCCGCGTCGAATGGAGCTCGAAGGATCGTACCCGAATTCACCCATGAGCCCCATGTCTGAGATGACTGCAAACGAAGTCGCGGCTCAGGAGCTTTCAGTGCCGGGTAGTCGGCATGTTGAAGGGGTCACGGAGAAGAGTAGCTCTGCCAGGCCGGAGAGCCCGGTTCTTGGATGAAGTAGGGAGGTTGTTTTCACTTAATTCCCCTTGGAGATGGGTTTCAACGTAATAGTGAAGGTCGGTCCCCTCATTCGAGACCAAAGTAACAGCTAAAATTGAGTCTCATTTTTAATTTATGTATGTTTTCTGAGAGGGCGTGGTATCAACATCATGCCTCACACAAGCCGGTCGCCTGAACTAGGTTTAGTCCTTCTCAACCGATCATGTTTCGCCTCATCCTGCTCGACCCAGTGAACTGCAAGTTCTCATTGCCCGTGACACCGGTTAAGACGTTGCCGATCCCCTGCACCTCGCCGTTACCGCCCTGCATGATAGCCGCATAGTTATTCGCAATCAGCTGAATACCCGACACGAACCCCTGCTCGTCGAAAGCGCAGTGCCCGCCGTTGGGCGAGTTGTTGACCGTCTGCTTGGCGTTGACCTGGGCGGTGCTCAATCCCGCGTCCGTCGCGATCTTCTCGTACGCCTTCACGGACGCCGGGATCGCCTCCTGCAAGTTGGAGAGCTCCTGCAGCGTGCTCTGGAAATGGATCCTCGTGCCCGCGACGGCTTTCGCGTCGACGACGTCGACTTGCGGTGGCAGACCGCCGCAATTAAGCAGCACGCCGTTGCCGGCGAAGTTCTGCATGTGCGCGGGCATGAAGAAGCCCGAGAGCATCAGGGATCCGCCCGAGACGCCCGTGAAGAAGACGTTGGACTGGTTGAAGGCCATCATCTGCGGTAGCGTCTTCTGGACGAGGTCGTTGACGGCCTGGGAATGGGCTACGCCGTCGGTGCGCTGGAGACCCTGGCCGCCGCCCCAGAAGAGGTTCGGGTCCGGAGCGAGGACGGCGACGCCGGCGAGGTTCTGCTGGACGCCCTGGTTGGGCATGTCGAAGAAGGATTGGCCGCCGTCGCCGTGGAGGAGGACGTTGAGGCCGAGGGTGCCTTGGGCGCCGGGTTGGGCTGCGGCGCCGGGGACGCCGGAGGCGGCGGTGAATTGTTCGGCTGGGCCGCTGATCTTGAAGCGGAGGTCGAGGCCGCTGGGAGGGGGGTAGTGTTAGTCCATGCGCCCCAAAGAGGAGACGGCGAACAACGGGACTTACTTGACGTTGGCGGTCATGTCCAGAATCATGGATCCGTCAGTCGCTTGCGAGACGCCCTGGGGCACCGCGGCGGCCTGCTGCTGCGCCGTCTGTCTGTTGGCGCGGCCGTTTCCGTTTCCGCCACGGTTTCCGTTTCCTTTCCTGTTCTGGGGCTGGGGCGCGCCGTGGACGACGCTCAGCAAGCTGAGGACCACCGCGAGGGCGGCGACGGGGGAGCGGACGGTCAACATCCTGGTCGAAAGCGGAAAAGAAGGAGGGAAGAAGAAGACTGTGTATTAGAAGACAGAATTATACGAAGGGAAAAAAAGCTGCCAAGCTTGCGGCGCGTCGCTCTCCTACGAAGATCAAGTGGTCTTGGAAAGAATATTCTTGGTATGAAACGAAGATTCGGAATTTCCCAGAAACCCGGGGAAGGAAAATCAAAAGGAGAGGAAAGGAAACCCAAAAGAAAGGTGGATGGGGTGGCAGGTTAGGTTTATCTTAAAGAACCGTTTGCTTGCATGAGCATCGACCATCCCATGGTCATGGGTATTGAACAGCCTCTCCTCTCACGGTCTCGCCGTCCGAATGATAGCCGACGGCTTCTCTCCTTTCCCTCGCCTTCGCTCTGGCACTGACCAGCATCGTGGCTGGCTCTATCCCATCTCCTTTTGGCTCCTCTGCATGGGTTCGACTTCTCAAGCGAGCTCCCCCGTCTTCAGACTAAACATGGGGAAAGAAGGACGTATCAACGGTCAGCCTTCCCTACCAGCGAGCCCAGCTGGCGGGAGCCATACAGGCCATCTGCGAAGCGAACCATCTCAATAATGGAGAGACGAAAAAGAAGGGAGGGGATAAGCTTGTGTTGTCTCTGTTTCGCCTGGACTCGGTTGTGTGTGAGAGTTGGGACAAGTCAGTCTGGGTCTGATCGCCCCCCTCTGGCTCGTACACGAGTTAGTCATTACTCCGTAGTCAAATACTTAGAGGACGGGAGTGGCTTTTGATCTTCAGCATACCAGGGGGGGGGGGGGCAAAGGGGAAAGCCTGACTGGTCAATTGGTTCGACATGGAACTAGGTTATCCGGGACAATTGTCACCCAAAAGAGTGCCTCTCTGGGCCTACACAACCAAAAGTGCGTGTACGAAGTATGAAAAGGGATGGATTGCCAGCGAGAGGCTCGACGACTGTTTCGCTTGGCGCTGCGTCTCCCGACTCGGGAGCAGAGCCATCCAGGGCACCAAGTTCAAGTTCAACAACAAGGTGTCGCAGAGCGTTTGAGGTTCTTTGTCGTCCGGCCTGCACTTTGCAGCAGAAACTCGAAACCGACCCTGGGCGCCCGGGTCCACCCCTGTGAAGCCGCAAGGCACACCCGCTCGGGGCTTGTCGCTTCAGACCCCGGTTCGGGGGGGGGGGGGTACGTCTCCCACTCGGGAGGCGACCATCAATTGACAATCACAGATTTTATTTCCCTGATCTTCCCGCGCGTGACAGCGAATGAATATTTTTATTTTGCCGTGGTGAAATGCTTCCATGTAGAAATCCAAAGGTTCCAGTTCCACTACTAAGAGGCGGGGGCCTGTTTGATGGGGTTTCTGCGACGTCGAGAGGCTTGGTATCCGTAGGTTGTTTTGGATCCCTGGTTGCGCTAAGAGATGCTTAAGTGCGACTAAGCATTGAGGCTCTTTCAGGGGGATTAGCCGATGTGGGTTTGACAAGTCAAGATCGTTGACTCTGGATCTCTAGTAGCTCTTCTAGGTACGAGGAACAAATGACTGGTGGTTGCTTCTATAAAGTTTGCACCAGATACTGAATGATATTAGGGTGAACGGCATGCTTCAGGAATCGGCCGGTTCGTAGTCGAGTAAGTTACTTGAAGGAACTCAGGACGGAAGCCAAACATGACACATGTTTCTTCGACACTTATTCACTGACTTTCCAACGACTACAGGGGCTCAGACGTCACTTGTTTCGGAGCTGACCTGTCTGAACTTCGTATTCAGCCAAACAACAACATTCTGATGTACAGAAGACGCTAAATATAAGCATTGCGTGCATTTCGTAGGCATAACGATTAACGCACACACCCGAACGATCATCTAATACCCAGCATCACATCAATCCAACCCTTCTAAACACTAGCCAAAAACCTCGTGCTCCCCATAGTTCATATATACATATCACAAGTACATATATCTCAAAGCTTGGCACCCTTGGATCTCCTGGCTTCCTTTTCGCGGTCGCGGAGTAGACGGCGCAGAATCTTGCCGCTGGGGCTCTTGGGAATGACGTCGACAAACTCGACGCCGCCCTTGAGCCACTTGTGCCGCGCCTTGTGTTCCTCGACGTACTTGCAAATCTCGGCCGACACCTCGGCCTCGGGCTTGGAGGCGTAGGCAGCGGCGCGGACGACGTACGCCTTGGGCACCTCGCCGGCGCGCTCGTCGGGCACCTGGATGACGGCCGTGTCGGACACGGCTGGGTGGGTGAGCAGGTGGGCTTCGAGCTCGGCGGGCGCGACCTGATGGCCCTTGACCTTGATGAGCTCCTTGATGCGGTCGACGATGACGAGGTGCTCGTTGCCCTCGGCGGACTTGCGAACGAGGACCTCGTCGCCCGTCTTGATCCAGCGGCCGTCTTCGTGCCATACAAACGTCTCGGCGTTGGCCTTCTCGTTGTGCAGGTAGCCCAGCACGACGGAGGGTGACTGCACCAGGAGCTCGCCGGGGGTGTTGTACTCTGTGATCTCGGTGCCTGTCGTGGGGTCGACAATCTTGCCGCGCGCACCAGGGACAAGAGAGCCTGATGATCCGACGTCGATGTCGATCTCGGAGGTTGTGCAGACGACAGTGCTGGTCTCGGTCATGCCTGGATTTGTTTTAATAAACATGGCCAAGCAAATGGTGCAAAACGATAGCTTACCGTATCCTTGACCCACGTGCCACTTGGGGTATTGCTTCTTAAGATCCTCCACGGTTTCCGCGCCAAGCGGCGCCGCACCTGTGTATACCCAGCGCACATTGGTAAGGTCGTATTTGTTGCAGAGATCTTGGTTGCGGATGACTTGAATGACGATTGGCGGGACCTGCTTGCGTTAGAAGATGTACGTACAACGCTTGTATTCCCGCCAATGAGCACTTACAACGGGGAGGCAGTTAATCTTGAAGCGCTGAACGGCATCGAGGAACTGCTTCAGCTCAAACTTGGGCAGGACAATGATGCCGTCGCCGCGCCACGTGCCGCAGTGAGCAATGACAACCAGGCCGTAAATGTGACTAAAGGGGAGGAGACCGAGAGTGGCTTGTGTCCTAACGCCAAGCTTTCTCCTCGCGACTGTTTCGTATGTTGTGAATTGCAGGACGTTCGCGATGACGTTCCTGTGTGAGATCATAACAGCTTTCTGCAGCCAAATCAGTCTACGAACCTCGACATACGTTGCGATCGCCTCTAGGACCCAGAAGTACTCACAGGCAAACCCGAGGTGCCGCTCGAGTAGCACAAGAAAGCAACCTGGCGTGCTCCCTGTCCCTTGACCCACTTGAGAGGTTCCAGCTCCGGCAGAGACTTGCCCTCTTGGATCAAGTCATCGATAGTGACATAGGGTGTTTTTTGATCGGCGCCCGGTACCGGCAGCAAAAAGATGCGGTCCTCGGGGATGTTGGCGCCCTTCGCGGCCTTAAGCGCGGTTTCAAGCAACGGGATGCAGGTAAAGAGAGCTTTCGAATTGGACGACCGCAGCTGGTGCTCCAACTCTTGAGCTGAATAAGCGGCGCTAGCGGGAGTGACGATGCCGGACAAACGGTGCATGGCATGAGTGAAGGGGATGTAATCGATCTACGCACTACTTTTAGTCCCGTGGGTGATGTGGGGTTACTTGGGCACCATTGCTACTCACTGTGTTGAGGGAGAAGAGGCAGACGACCTTTTCCCACTCG